GGAACAGGCTGCCCAGGGAGGTGGTGGAGTCTCCTTCTCTGGAGATATTCAAGACCCGCCTGGATGCCTGCCTGTGCGACCTGGTGTAGGGATCCTGCTTTGGCAGGGGGGTTGGACTCAATGATCTCTGGAGGTCCCTTCCAACCCCTATGATTCTGTGATTCTGTGATTCTGTGATTCTGTGATTCTGTGCGTGTGCCACCCACTCCTGCGGTGCTGTCTGGAAAGGAGAATCCCACAGGATTTCCAAAGGAGGACGTCGAGACTAAACCCGAGCTCAGGGATCCCCCTGAAGTCCGATCGCACATCCAAGGGCACTGTGGGACACTTCTTCAGTACTGACAGGCCTGGGGCTGTGGCTGCGTCCCTGAGGAGCCCGGTGGTGAAGAACACATCCCCAGCATCCAGCCTGACCCTCCACGGATGCAGCTTGAGCCTCATGCCCCATCACCGCTCAGCACACAGCTCTCACAGAACGGCTGGGATGGAAGCGACCTCAAAGCCCACCGAGCTCCAACCCAGCTGACCCCCCAGCATGGCCCATCCATGGCCTAGGGTACCCCCAGAGGTGGGCACCCACAGCTCTTGGGCAGCACCTCAACCGCCCTCTGAGTGGAACATCTTCCCCTGGTACCTAAATTAAATCTCCCTTTAGATTTCCACTGCACATTGGTTATCACTCAGTTGCGCTTGTGTAGGTGAGCTGGAAGACGCTGCACAAAGGAGGCTGGAGGTGTAGAAGCCGAGTATGTTTATTAGGTAGATCTGCTGATTCTAAGCCAAGTCTTGCAGCAGGGGCTCAGCTTGTTGCCTGTGTGATGGGGGCTGGCGGGGGCCCTTCTGCAAGCTGTGCCTATCCTGTCCTTACCCACCCTGGTGGCTGCCCTGGCACCATGAGTGCTATCTTGCTTACATGGAGTTCTGTATAAAAAAGAGGCTATGGCACCACGGCCTGAAGTGTCTAAAGATAGCTTGCTAGCATTGAAGGCTTGCTCACACGCCGTAATCCACGAGTGTGATGTTAATGAGCTGGCAGCGTGGTTAATTATCCATCCACTGGTGGGAAGTGATAAGACTCTGAAGTGTAATTAATCACTGCTCCCAAAACAGACAAACAAAAAAATAACAATCAGAATGGAAGTGGGTGCCAACCCATCCACCTGAGCTGTTGTTCTTGCTCCTTCTCATAGATACCCAGCTCTGAGTCCTTTACTCCCCTTCATGCCAGCTTCTGGTGGATACAAGCATGGAGGGAAGCTGGCCATCACCTCCTTCAGATCTTTCTGGGCTCCTTAAGGACTTTATGGCCCCTCCTCCCTACCTCCGGGCTGGATCTAAGAGCACCCATCTGCTCCGGCTCTCTCTGCTCCTTGATGCCAGCCCCAGTCTTGCTGCTCCCCAGCAGAATTTCATTGATGGAGGTCAGTGTCAGGTTGCTGAAGACCATGTTGAGGTGGTCGATGCCTCGCAGCTCCTGGACATGCACTTTCTGCTTTTGCTGGT